GAAGCTGGCAAGCCCAAGATCGGCAGGTTGGAGAGCAGGGCTCCCGCTCACAGGCTGTGCAGATCGACGAATCCCAGGTTTGGCAGATAAGCTGACAGCTCAAGTCCCAAGAACGGGAGATGAGATGACAGGAAGTAGCTGCAGGATCCAGAGAGAGCAAAAAGCCAGAACGTCTGCTTATATACAGATGCGGGCCACATCCCCAAGGAGAGTCCCTTTCATCTGATTGGCTACTCACAGTATATTCAATCATGGGAGTGATTACATTTAAACATTGAGAATCATGGCCCAGCCAAGTTGACACACAATCTTAACCATCACACACCTCGAAAGAAAAACCTGGCTGTCTCCTTCCAAAAATTCACCCATTGAAAACCCTATGGAGTACAGTTCTACTCTGACACACACAGGGTCACCATGAGTCAGAGTCCACTGGATGGCAACTGGTTAGTACATATAAGGCACAAAGTGAGTGATCAAAAATGTTTATTATTATTATTGTTAATATTTTTGGTGCACAAAAAGGTAAGAGGAGGAGGAGGAAAGGGATAGCAAAGGATGCAGGGAAGAAGTATGGGCAGTTGTAGGTCACAGAAGTTATCAAGGAGGAGAGGATGACAATTAGAATAACAACAAAAACCCTGCGAAGAGGAGATGAACAACCCAGTGGACTGATCATCAGGAAAATTTCAGGGATATTTAACAGCATAGTTTTAAGAGGCTGCTAAGGAAGGAAACCACAGTCCAAGGGGCAAAGGCTAGGGCATTCAAAGCAGAGCAGGAGGAAAGAGGAGAGGAAAAGACAGCAACTTTTGGAACCACATAGCTCCAGCTTGGTGTCCAGTGGGGCACACTTGAACATACCTGGAAGAAGTGATGAACCTCTCATTCCCTTGGTGTAGGTAACCCACACTGGCCAGCTCTGGAGGCTCTCTGCTGTGCTTTAAGCCAACCAACTTTCCTATCTCAAGGAAATCTCAAGAGATTTGACATACCTGTCTTAGGTCAGCTGGCTTAGGAAATCGTTCTCAGAAAAGGGAACTTATCAGATCCATGCTTCTGCTTATTTTTGTTCTGCTTCTCTGCATTTGTTGAATGCAGTGCTACTTTGCTACTGAAAAGGAGAGCATTAGAGGAAAGAAGGTTTTTGAAGAAATAGAATTCAGTTTTGGAAAAGTTGATTTTGAGGTGCTGCAATTTTAATATACAGCGTATATATAGTCTGGATCACAAAAGAGAGGTTCCCCACTCCTAGCCAATAGATGGTAATTAAAGCTATGGTAATGGATCACATCATTTAGGGAGAGAGTGTAGAGTGAAAACAGAGCCCTAAGTAACTCCTTTAAAAGTCAGGGAGTGGAGGAACAGCTAATAGAGGAGACAGGGAAAGTGTGGCCAGAGATATAGGAGAAAAATGATTAGAGTATGGTGTCATGGAGGGCAAGGAGAGAAACAAGACTGAATCAAGACTGAAAAATATCCACAGGACAGAACAGCAAGGTTGGTATTCTTAGCAAGAGTAATTCCAGTGGTGATGATGGCAGTGGTTAATGATGGCAGCACTGATGGTGGTGGTGGTGGTTATGTGATGGTAGTAGACAGTGGCAGTGGTGATGATGCTAGTGAAGATGATAGTGGTGGTGGTAACGGCAGTGATATGATGGTGATGATGAAGGTTATGGTGGTGATGGTAATAGTGATGAGGGTGGTTGGAGGTGGTGATGGTGGTAGCGATGATGACGGTAAAAGCCAGAATAGGTTAGACTGAGGAAACAGGAGGTGGAGAAGTGGAGACAATTTAAGTGTAGTCATCTCGAAACAGTTGGAACAAGAGTGTGAAGGAGGGCAGATGAACAGAGGGAAATGGGTGGTTGGAGCCTGGTGAAATCAGCTGGCTCCTGGGATTGCCAAGGCCTTCAGTCTTACGTAGGAAGTTTTCTGGGCTTTCAACATTCCGCTGCAGCTTGGTGGGCAGGCCCAACAGCTGTGCAGTGGGGCTTCCTCTACTTTCTCTGAGTGGTCCTCTTGGGGAGGGGTGACAGTTGGAGGCAGGGATTGATAAGAGAGAGAGAGTGTGCCACCTAGTGGTCAGGCTAAGATGGCTATGCAATTACAGTCTGGCTCTGGAGCCAGACTGCCTGGGTTCAAATCCTGGCTCTGCCACTTACTAGCTGTGTGACTTTGGGCAAGTACCTTAACCTCTCTGTCCCTCAGGCATCTCTGAGCTGGGATAACAGCAAGTCTCCTAACTGGTTGTCCTTCCATTCCATCCTCCACTTTGCAGTTGGGAGAGCTTCCTGAAAGATCACACCCTGCCTCACAGCCTCGTGGATACGTTATAGGCTTAATGCACTGAGCACTGGGCCTAAAGCTCATCCTGAGCTGGCCATAGTCTTCCTCTCCAGACTTACCTCCCACACTTTCCCCCCAGGCTGCCTACCTGCCTCAGCCACTTGCTGTTCCCTGAACTCTGCATGCTCTTTCCAGCCTCCTGCTTTGCACGTGGTCCTCTCTGTCTGGAATGCCCTTCCTCCCCCACTGCTCCGCCCTGGCCAAGTCCTTCAAGTGTGCATTCTTTTGTATATGTTTCCTTGACAAATCCCACTCTGCCCCTTCCCTACCCAAGGTAGAATTAGGCACATCTCTCTCCTCTCTGTTCCTAAGATTTCATCACATTTCAGGTGTCATCAAATTTAAGGCACATCATTATTTTATGTGCCACTGAGAAAAACAAATAAAAAACAACAACTAAACAATGACACAATGCTTTTTTATTCCTTAGAATTTGTATTTTATTCTTATTGAAAGAGCTACTGTAGATTTATTTCAAAATGGATTTTTATCGTATCTCACTGTTGCATGCTTGAAAAGGAAAACAAGTGGAATAAATCCATCAAGATATTCTTGAGACTTCTTCATTTTCATTATCTTTTAAATCACTTTACAACAAAGAGCTATTGATGTCTATGTTTCTCTACAGTGGTTGGTCTCAAGATGTGGTTCCGGTCCGGCAGCACCAGCATCACCTGGGAACTTGTTAGAAATGAAGACTCTCAGGCCCTACCCTAGACCTGCTGAATCAAACTCTGGGTGGAGCTCGGCTAATTGTGTTTAACAGGTCCTCCAGGTGATTCTGATGCATGCTCAAGTTTCAGAGCTCAGTGCTACACGTATCATTCTCTGGTTCATTAAGAGTTTGGAGATGCAGAATTTATTAAAAGCATCCATAAAAGAACAAGAAACCATTGATGGCTCTCCACCAGCCTCACATTGCTTAGTACCAAAAAAACAAAACAAAACAAAACCAAACCAAAACCCAAAAAACACCAAACCCACTGCCATTGAGTCGATTCTGACTCACAGCGACCCTGCAGGACAGGGCAGAACTGCCCCATAGAGTTTTCCAAGGAGCAGCTGGTGAATTTGAACTACTGACCTTTTGGTTAGCAGTAGTACACAAGTATAATCCAAATCCACCTGTGGTGACAAAATGAGATTACACTTCCTTTTTATAACCAAGGTATTACAGCACAAAACTCCAGGGGCCTTCTTGCTGGAAATCAGGCCCTCTAAAATGCCTTCTCAGTGGAGCATCCAGGAGCTTCCACTATAATGCTTTGCGTATGCTTACTACTGCCTCAAATGTTGCTAAACAGAATATATATGTTACTTCCCTTCCATTTTTGTGATGGTTAAGCTTGTGTGTCATCTTGGCTGGGACACAATTCTCTGTAGTTTGGCAGTTATGACGTAGTTTGGCAGCTGTGTAATATGCAATCACTTTCATGATAAGATCTGATATAATATGATCACCTCCATGATGGGATCCGCTGTGAGTAGCCAATCAGTGGAAAGGGAGTGTCCTTTGGGTGTGGCCTGCATCCAATATAGGTGGACTTTCTGGCAAGGTTTGCTGGCTTTTGCTCACTCTGGATCCTGCAGATGGCTCCTGTTCATGTAACCTCCAGTTCTTGGGACCTCGGCTAGCAGCCTGCCTGCCAATCTTGGAATTCACTAGCCTCTGAGATCTGGATCTTGGGTTCACCAGCCCCTGCAGCTACTTGAATCGGGAGAAGCCTCCAGCCTGACCCATGAGTTTGGGACTTTCTAGCATTTACAACTGCGTGAGGCATTTCCTTGATACATATCTTTCTCACACTCTCTCTATATGTATATATATATGCTTCACTGGTTTCCTTCTGTAGAGAACCCAGCCTAAGACAATTTTAAAGCATTCAAAATAACAATGATTTCCCATAAGCCATGTTGCACCCTCACATGGTAAAACTAGGGATGAGCAGCTTCCACTTGATTCTGAATCCTTTACAATCTCAAGAATTACTATGTTTGGTAGTCGGGCTTAATTCATGTGTTGGTGCAGATCCCTGTCCAAACTGTGCCTTAAAAAGATTCATGATTTATATTCTTTCCCAGACACAACCAGGATTAATGCTTGTGACCAGCCTCCCAGCCTCTTCTCCAGGCACACAGGCAGAGAGATGCTGAGCAGTTCGACCATAGGGGGCATGTGCTGCTCTTCTTTGCTGCCCTGCTTCTTTCATCGTCTCCCATGTTCCTTACTCCAGAAGCCAGCTCCTGCCTTTCCTTGCCTCCCTGTGGATGGGGCACAGGTCTAGGCAACACCAAGCAGAAGCACCACCACTTGAATCCCAACCGAACGATGCAGAAAGCAAGAACCTGAGGGAATCCAAGCTGGTGAGGGCAGCAGCAGCTACATAAGGTTTCCTGAGGCGCCAGTACCAGAGGATCAAGAGGTGGCACCCAGCACCTGGGCTGGGCGATAGTGGCGCACAGGCTGTGATGCCTGTGCCTGTCGTGTGGGAAATTACCTCAATGCAATAACAGTCTCCAAGTATATTACCAGGTGTTATGGGCTGAACTGTGCCCCCTCAAAATCTGTATGAATCCTAACTCCTATACTTGTGGATGTAGTCCTGTTTGGAAACAGGGTTTTCTTTGTTATGTTAATGAGGCCATAATCAGTGCAGGGTATACCCTAAACCTAATCACTTCTGAGTTATAAAAAGAACAGATTAGACACAGAGGCAAGCACAAACGAGGGTGGGGAGAGAAGATAAATGCCATGTGAATATCACCAAGGAACCCAGGAACACCAGGGCAACAGATGCTGAAAGAGACAAAGTTCTTTCCCCAGAGCTGACAGGAGGGAATCTTCCCCTAGAGCTGCTGACCTGAATTCGGACTTGTAGCCTCCTAAACTGTGAGAAAATAAATTTCTCTTCTTTAAAGCCACGCACTTGTGGTATTTGTGTTACAGCATCACTAGAAGACTAAGACACCAGGGAAGCTATCCCAGAGGCCAAAGAATAGAAAAGCTCATAGATTAAATTAAAATACCCAAGTCACATGGTTTTTTAAATAAATTCAAACACAGTGAGAAGCAACGGGAAAGAGATGGAGTAAGTTACCATACTCAGGATAGGGTGCGAGTGGAAGGATCACACTACCCGAGCCATAGGGTTTGCAGTGTTCACATGTCCTGTCTTTCTCCCTGTGGCATCAGACTTCCCTGCTGATGGTGTGGTCATGAGGACCAGAGCTGAGGTTGCCGCAAGGTGGCCCCAAGATGGAAGCAGTCCTCTATCAATGACATGCTGTTGCTCTACTGGAGAGATGCAGGGACAGTTAGTCTGCTGAGTGGCCATGGTGGCTACGGGCTTTACTGGCACTTCTTGGGCAGAAGACATGTGGGGCCAAAACGGGTGCCACCAATGGGTGGCTGAATTAAGACCCCATGAATACTGAGGCCTTCATATGCCTCATAGACATCAGGTACCTCTCAGTCCTTCCATTCTTTCTATGTTTAATACACACATGCTCTATATGCATCTTCGTTTAATATATCTTATGAATTTTACCTGTTTTCTAAAGTACTTGATTATTAGCTACCTATCTTAACATATCTCATGATTTTCTTCCA